GGCTGTGAATATGTCTGGAGACAGCCCAATTCCTTCTGAAAGGTGCGACACCACAGGGGGCCCAGAAATGTGTGACCTGCCCTTGATTTATCCATGGATATATAGAGGGGGCCTCAACCATGCACTATTGAGCAATGCTGGCCATACAGGGTATAGAAAATTGAATGTTTTGAAAAATTCATCCGAGGGATACGCTTGAGAGTTGGTGCCGACTAGCAAAACATAGGTTAGTTGGCTAATTTCATTTATCGAAATGCAAAGTTCCGTATTGGAAAAAAAAACCGACACTGTACTATGGATTTTATTTCAGCTTAATCGGGATAAGTACAGCCAAAGCTCTTTTCATGGGGATCAAAAGTAAGATAGGTTTGTTCTGCACTCCTGTGACCCGTTTTCAGCCAACAGCGGACTGAAGCCACTCAACCGGTCCAGGTTGGGGAAAGATCCCGAGTCCTCCTGCACACGGGACGTTTGTACAGCGGCTGTTTTTTGCTTTTGACATTTTTTTCTACAGCCAGTAAACCCCCCCAGCATGTTATCCTATGTGTCCATCCCCAGCATGTTATCCTATGTGTCCATCCCCGGCATGTTTATCCTATGTGTCCATCCCCGGCATGTTATCCTATGTGTCCATCCCCGGCATGTTATCCTATGTGTCCATCCCCGGCATGTTATCCTATGTGTCCATCCCCGGCATGTTATATCCTATGTGTCCATCCCCGGCATGTTCTCCTATATGTCCATCCCCAGCATGTTATCCTATGTGTCCATCCCCGGCATGTTATCCTATGTGTCCATCCCCGGCATGTTATCCTATGTGTCCATCCCCGGCATGTTCTCCTATATGTCCATCCCCAGCATGTTATCCTATGTGTCCATCCCCGGCATGTTATCCTATGTGTCCATCCCCGGCATGTTATCCTATGTGTCCATCCCCGGCATGTTTATCCTATGTGTCCATCCCCGGCATGTTCTCCTATATGTCCATCCCCAGCATGTTATCCTATGTGTCCATCCCCGGCATGTTATCCTATGTGTCCATCCCCGGCATGTTTTCCTATGTGTCCATCCCCGGCATGTTATCCTATGTGTCCATCCCCGGCATGTTATCCTGTGTGTCCATCCATCCCCGGCATGTTATCCTATGTGTCCATCCCCGCATGTTATCCTATGTGTCCATCCCCGGCATGTTATCCTATGTGTCCATCCCCGGCATGTTATCCTGTGTGTCCATCCCCGGCATGTTATCCTATGTGTCCATCCCCAGCATGTTATCCTATGTGTCCATCCCCGGCATGTTATCCTATGTGTCCATCCCCAGCATGTTATCCTACGTGTCCATCCCCAGCATGTTATCCTACGTGTCCATCCCGGCATGTTATCCTACGTGTCCATCCCCGGCATGTTCTCCTACGTGTCCATCCCGGCATGTTATCCTACGTGTCCATCCCCCCGGCATGTTATCCTATGTGTCCATCCCCGGCATGTTATCCTATGTGTCCATCCCCGGCATGTTATCCTATGTGTCCATCCCCGGCATGTTATCCTATGTGTCCATCCCCGGCATGTTATCCTATGTGTCCATCCCCGGCCGGCATGTTATCCAATGTTTTTCCCCGGCATGTTATCCTGGCTGGAAAAAAAACATGACTGAAATCCTATGTGTCCATCCCCTAGGCATGTTTTTTTTATGTGTCCAAACGCCCGGCATGTTATCCTATGTGTGAAAAACCCAGCAAAACACGGTCCTATGTTCCAAAAACATGTTATCCTTTGTGTCCATCCCCGGCAAAATCGTCAAATCCTACGGTCCATCCCCGGCGTTTTTTTTTCAGTTATGCTAATGCAAAAACGCTAAAAAAAGCTGAAAAACTCAAGTTTTTAATGTGACTTTACACAGCTAACGTGTTACCAGCGTTATCAAAATGTCCCGTGTGCATGGAGCCTAACTTCAAAGTTCGGATCCACTCCAGAGTCCGGAGCAGCACCTGGCTCAGCCTCTCAGTGATCCCCGAGAGCCTGAACTAGCCCCACCTTCCCCCTCTACAGCCCAGCGCTCCATTGAGCGATGTTGGCAGGTGGGAAGAGCAGACAGAGGTGACTGACAGTTCCATTCTCTGCTCAAAGCAGCTGTGAAAACTCAGCGAGCAGTGGTCATGTGATCACTGAGTTCTCACAATTAGAGCCAACGGGGGACAGATGCAGCCTTGGATCGATGCAGCATCCACCTAGGTAAGTATACTGGGGGGGGGGGGGGGCCCTTACTTCTCTTTTAAATGCTCAACATAAACCAGTTATACCCAATTAGTTAAATTGCATCAAAGTAAAAATAAATAGATAAAGTCCAAAACTGATGAAAGTGCTCTGTGCTCCTAATAATCCCACTCTGTGAAATATGTGCAATACGTCCAAATAAAAGTGAACGCCTCTTAGGTATGCCCCAAGTGCAGTCCAGGTGCTTTGACACTCACCAGAAGAGATTGACTCCTCCTCTTGGTATGGTTCAGAGTTGGGAAATGGGACCACAAGTGAACCATGCTTGGGACCACCTCTTCTAAGTGGTTCCAGCCACTGCATGCCTAACCACTCTCACTACACAAACGTACGGGCTCAGTTAAAGCTGCTAGCTGAAGTCCTCATGCACAGCAGTTGTTTTTGGCATTTTGACGTCTTTTTTCTACAGCCAGTAAAAACCCCCCCCCCCAGCATGTTATCCTATGTGACCATACACATAGACTGGAATCAATGTTTTTTGGCTGGAAAAAAAAACACAGGACTAGTGGCTTTCGATATGAGTTTTTTTTAGCTATATAAACCATCTAACACTGAAAAACGTGGTAAAATGCCACAAACCGTCGTTTTTTGGACTTTTGTTGACCCCCAATTTTTTTTTTTTAAAAAAAACCTCAAAACGTGGACAAACGTGGGAAAACGCCGCTAAACGCGGCAAAATACTATTGCAAAAACGCTAAAAAAAGCTGAAAAACTTTTTCTAACGTGACTTTACACAGCTAACATTGCCAGCATTATCAAAACACAGCATGCACGGAGCCTGACTTCAAAGTCTGAATCAACATTTTTTTGGCTGAAAAAAAAAACCTTAAGACTAGTGGCTTTCAGAGGAGTTTTTTATAGCTGTAAAAACGCTCTAACGCCGTGCAACAATATGCGGTAAAAAACACGGAGCCTGACTTCAAAGTCTGAAAAAAAAGTTTTTTTTGGTAAAAAAAAAAAACCAAAAAAGAAAGTGGGGCTTTCTAGGCTGGACTTTTTTTTCTTAGCTAGATTTAAAAAACCTAATAACGCTGAAAAACGCTAAACAATATGCGGTAAAAAAAAAGGCCCCACCAAAAAACACAAATGTGGGGAAAACACCGCTAAACACTAATGCAAAATGCTGACTGGTATTTTTGGACTTTTTTTGAACCCCCGCCCCCATTTTTTTTTTTTTTAAAAAACCTCAAACGTGGAAAAATGCGTGAAAACGCCGGTAAACACGGCAAATACTAATGCAAAAAAACTGAAAAACTCATGTTTTTTACCATGACTTCGAACCAGCATTTTTGGACTTTTTTATAGGAAAAAAGGGGGGTTTTTTTTGGTAAAAAAAAAAACCCCCACTAAAAAACACAAACTTGGGAAAACAGCACTAAACGCTAATTCAAAAATGCTAAAAAAAAAAGATGAAAACTCACATTTTTAACGTGACTTTGCACAGCTAACATTAACAGCGTTATCAAAACACCCCATGTGCATGGAGCCTGACTTCAAGGTCTGGATCAATGTTTTCTGGCTGGAAAAAAACCCCAAGACTAGTGGTTTTCTAGAGGAGTTTTTTAGCTGTAAAATCGCTTTTGAAAAAACGCGGTAAATGCCACAAGCCGACGTTTTTGGGACTTTTTCTGACAAAAAAAGTTTGTTTTTTTTCTTTTTTATAAAAAAGAAAAAACACAAAAAAACACAAACGTTATCAAAGTGTCCCGTGTTCACGAGAGCTCAGTGCGCACTTACATTGTTGCATCTAAAAAAAAAAAAAATAAATACTTCTTACCATGCATTAATATATAGAGAGCTACATTTCATTCATATCTTTTATGTTTTCCTGGCATTTCGCTGTAATGGATGATTTTGTTGTTTATTTTTTTTCCTTTTATTTAAAGGCCAGTACTTCGTAGAACAGCCGGATGTGGTCCCTGCTGTGATGGGAGAAGATATCTCTATACCTTGTGTTGTTCATTATAAATCAACTGATACTGTAGATGAGATCCTCTGGAGGCGAGGAACGAGCGACCTGTGTTCTGACAATCCTGAATTTTTAAAATGGAAAATAGAAAATATGAGACATAAGGAGGGACGATGGACGGTGCAGAAATCTGAGGACAGCTTCTTCTTATTACACATCGAGAAAGTTACAGGTGATGACAGCCGGCAATACTGCTGTGAGGTGAAGATAAGAACAAGGCCAGGAACAGAATCATCTGCACACGGCACCCAGGTAGTGGTAGCAGGTAAGATCATTTTAGGTTTGAGCTTTGAAATACACATCAATTCTAGAAATCCCAAAACATGTTCTGGGTGATTTTAAATGATCTTGAGCTATTATTTAGTGACCTGATTTCCTTTGCCTTATTTGCTTAGCCCAGTGTTTCTCAACCTTTTTTCAGTCAAGGCACTCTTTAAAAATGATGGACAGTCTTGAGGCACTCTTTAAAATTATGGACAGTCTTGAGGCACCCTTTAAAATTATGGACAGTGCACCCTTTAAAGTTATGGACACCCTTTAAATTTACGGACTGTCTTGAGACACTCTTTAAAATTATGGACTGTCCTGAGGCACCCTTTAAAGTTATGGACAGTCTTGAGGCATTCTTTAAAATTATGGACAGTCTTTGAGCCACCCTTTAAAATTATAGACAGTCTTGAGGCACCTTTTAAAATTATAGACAGTCTTGAGGCACTCTTTAAAATTATGGACAGTCTTGAGCCACCCTTTTAAAATTATAGACAGTCTTGAGGCACCTTTTAAAATTATGACAGTCCCGAGGCACTTTAAAATTATGGACAGTCTTGAGGCACCTTAAAATTATGGACAGTCTTGAGGCACCCTTTAAAATTATGGACAGTCTTGAGGCACCCTTTTAAAATTATGGACAGTCTTGAGGCACCCTTTAAAATTATGGACAGTCTTGAGGCACCCTATTAAAATTATGGACAGTCTTGAGCCACCCTTTAAAATGGACATCTTGAGACCATTATCAGTCTTGAGGCACCTTTTAAAATTATAGACAGTCCCGAGGCACTCTTTAAAACTATGGACAGTCTTGAGACAGCCTTTTAAATTACGGACAGTCCCGAGGCACCCTTTAAAATTATGGACAGTCTTGAGGCACTCTTTAAAATTATGGAAAGTCTTGAGGCACCCTTTTAAAAAATTATAGACAGTCTTGAGGAGGCACTCTTTAAAATTATGGACAGTCTTGAGGCACCCTTTAAAGTTATGTACAGACTGTCCCATGGCACCCCATTGTAAAATGTGAAAAAATATTCTAATAGTTTTGTATAACGCAGCAACATCCACACATGTAGGACACCCAACATTAGAGGCAATTTATTCTTCCAAAGCAAATACACTTTTGCACACTGGTACTGACTAGTATTCCAATGTTTCTCTTCTCCCTCAGTTTTTTTCTCCATCACTGAGCTAATGTGACCCCAGCACTGACAGAGGGGCAGGGGAGGGTCAAACTAGGATGCTGTGCAGGCAGCTGACATCCACCTTATCAACTGATGATGTCATTGGTTGTCGGGATGCCGGCGGTTAGAAGTTCATAATGGTGCGCAATGAAATCCTGTGGCTTTGTATAAGTAAAAGGCAGACTTGTTCCACCTGCTGGCTTGTATACAAGTTTTGGGCAATTTTTAGACATTTTGCCAAGGCACCCCTGAAGAATCCTCAAGGCACCCCAGGGTACCTGGGCACCCTGGTTGTGAAAGGCTGGCTTAGAGATTGGACAACTCAGGACAACACAGTACTTACAGCCCCTTTCACACAGACATTCCAATCGGGTCCACCTGCCTGTTTTTCAGGTGGACCCGATCAGAACCTCTACTCTCCTCTATGGAGTGGCCACCGACACCTGCCAACATCCGATCTGCCAAAACGAGATGGATGGTGATCTATTCCTCTTCCATCTGTCAGATGGGATGGCAGTCAGATGGAAACAGACAGGCAGTCCATTTCCATCCAACCACCCATAGAGGACAGTGGGTTGTGTCTGGTCTGCTCAGCAGAGCGGACACATACTTGTAATCCTCTTGATCCCCCACCTGATCCACCACTCAGCAAGCAGATCTACTGACGGGTCCACCCCGTGTGAAAGGGGCCTTCATCTTTCACAGAGCAGCAATCAATCAGTGCACTTGCCGGGTGTAACCTTTCAGCTGATGGGTATTTCATGCTCCAAGGAGAGGGATCTTGCATGAGGCAGAGCTAACTTTACTCTAGAAGGGTTGGTTTTAACTTCATAGATAAAGATAACAAATGTCTTTCTGCTGTAAAATGAAACTTACATTTTGTTACACTGACAACAGCAGTTTCTATAGTACTATATGGCCTCCAAATGATTGGGTTAAGAGGTTTCCAGTGAAGGGTGTTTTTAAGATTACAGAACACAAAAACATTTTAGACAATTGTGCACCAACCTTGTGGTAATGGTTTGGTGAAGACCCTTTTCTGGTCATGCATGACAGTGTCCCTGTGCACAAAGCCAGCTCCATGAAGACATGGTTTGGCCAGTTGTGTGGTGGAACTTGCACAGAGCCCTGACCTCAAGCAAGCCACAGATGATTTGTGACAGGGGGGAGGAGTGACTTTTGGGGGTGGGGGGACCGCTTGGTCAGCTCATGTCCCCCTCATTATGTTTAACCCCACCCTGTGCCTGTTAAAGGGGTACAGGGTGTGTATGTGAATGTCTGAGTCTTGTGTATAGTGTGTGTTTCTTTGTCTAGGCCACATGGCTGTCCATTGTCCGTTTGCCATGTGCTACCCCCCATTTGCTGTGTCCTTCCTGTCCAGCCAACTATTATGGGATGTACTGTGTTTGAGTATGGTGTGGGGGTGGTCAATGTCCTTTGCCGCATGGCTGCATCCCATTGTTCTGTGTCTTGGTTGGATGGGGAGGGGTGATGAGGTGTTTCCTGCCTATACTGTAGCCCTTCCCACTGATAGGGTGGGCTGATGATGTGTTTCCTGTCCTGGTTGTCTTTCCCCGCCCTCTGTATAAAACATGTTGTTTGTGTACCATAAAAGTAGTTGGCTTTCTGTCTTAAGAGCTGGGTGCTGTCTATTTCCTGAGGATTTCAAGGGTGTGGTCCGTGGATGGTGTTCGGACAGGGGAAGCTGCGGGATCACGGAATATACCCAAGTACGGTCGGGAGGGGTACCGGTTCCGTTACATGATTCAATTTTCTTTCCTGCAAATTGATTGATTCCCCCAACAGTCACTGTTGATGTGGGAATCCTTCAGGCGGAGCTATTGTGTTCTACTGGGTATATGTCTATATGTGGTTGTGTTGTGGTTGCTGAATACTGTGTGTTACTTTTTTTGATGCTACTGAAAATGATTTTGCTAATACTGAATAAATATAGGTTTTTTTATTACAACCTGATACCAGTCTTGTTTGCTGTCCAATTAACCACTTGTCTCATGGAATGGGCTTTACCCATCCATTCGATATTTTTTGGTTTGGTTTATGGTTTAGACGGCAACACTTTTAAAGTGAGGATGCAATCAGTAAATGTTCCTATTATTCCCTTCTTTTTGTTATAAATTTCTGCTAAGATTTCCCTGTATTTGGCTCCATCTATCTTCTCATCAACTCTGACTAGCCTCCCTGTCCCTACTGAAGAAAAGAGTCCTCACAACATGATGCTGCCACCACCATGTTTCACAGTGGGGATGGTGTGTTCAGGGTGATGTGCAGTGCTAGTTTTTCACCACATAGCGTTTTGCTTTTAGGCCAGAAAGTTAAATTTTAGTCTCATCTGACCAGAGCCCCTTCTTCCACATGTTTGCTGTGTCCTCCACATGGCTTCTCGCATACTGCAAATGGGACTTCTTATGGCTTTCTTTCAACAATGGCTTTCTTCTTGCCACTCTTCCATAAAGACCAGATTTGTGGAGTGCACGACTAATAGTTGTCCTGTGGACAGATTCTCCCACCTGACCACCTTTATTGTTAGCTGTAAACAGCAAGCACATACGGGAAAAATAAAAACGCTCAATTTCAGGAGAGGTAATATGAGATCCATCAAATCCTGGACTCCAAGATTTCCAGTGGAAAGTTTTGATATCTTATTGATTGGAAGGGCTTCAGCCCTGAAGAAAGATCCAGGTTTTTGTATTGCATGCATCAGCTCCTCTTTTAGTAAAGAGATTCCATTTCTAATGGAAACCAGGACCTCCACTAGTGGGGAGGCACCCTATAAAGAGAACTAATATCACCATCACCTCATTCCCAAGTCTTTTCTCTAGTGTATGGCTGCCAGTGCTTCTGAGTTCCATTTGGAGTGCTGGCACCACAGTCAATCAGATTTTGAGCGACATCCTAAAGAACCGGGCAATGCATTGCTAAAATGTGCATTGAAATGAAATACATTGCTATGCCTAAGCAGGGGCGGACTGACCATTTGGAAACTCGGGCACTACCCGAGGGCTCGGGGTCAGTAGAGGGCCCCATGAGATGCCCCTGGAACCTTTTTCATAGGCTTTTTTGAGTTTGGGCAATGACACAGGGGACCCATGATCCCCTATTGCCCGGGGGCCCATGAGTTGTCAGTCCACCCCTGTGCCTAAGCTAAGTTTCCTGCTTCTCCAGTGTCTGCTCTAGTTTTCCCTATACTAGTGAATGCGACCTATGTGCACTCCAGCAACCTCTGCACTCCTCTGCTTCAAACAACTCCTGGTCTCCTGTGCTTCCAGAGACACCGTGACCCCCTGAACACTCTTTTAACCCTCCTCCTGTGTCCCCAGAACACCAATACTCCCTTCCTATACCTACAATGTGCTCCTGTGAACTTCTGTGATCCCATTGTCTCTAGTGACTTCTGTGACACCTGTACCCCCACTGACTACAGCACTCCAGTGCCCTCTTTGACCTTTGTGCTCTCCTGGCCATTTTCAGACCCTTATCTGAAGATGGACAAAATGTAGTAAATCAAGGGTCACCCCCATGTGCTTAAATAGGGTTCAATTCCAAGTCAGGATCTGCAGACTTTGTACAAGATTTGATATCCTGCCATCAGTAGCACCAGGCACGTTCACTCAACCTTACTCCGTATTATTCCATGCACAATACAAAACAAAAACATTTTGGATAGACTTTTACTTTAGTTTGCTAAACAAAATGTACAGCATGGCAGTTTTGCTACTTTTGTGTGGTTTGACCACTGGATTAGAAGCTCAAATCTTCCTATAAAATGAATGCCAAAAGGTAAAACCTGCATTTGTGCACCAAATATTTTTCTGCAATGCAGCTCATTACATATTTTCTTTCTTTTTTCAGATCCGACTCAGAACGATCCCGAGTTCACTGTCACTCAGTCTGGAATAATATTGTCTAATGAAGGAGATTCTGTCACCATCAACTGCTCATACACCATCCCACCGAAAGAAAACTTTCTGTGGAGTGGTGTTTTCTGGAGAGTGGGCAGCCCAACAGGACTCTACGCCTATCACCCCTCTGATCTGATGATTGATCCCAATTACAGAGGAAGAACTCAGCTGAAAGGATTGGCTGATCTCCAGATAAACGGGTTCCGAGATAAAGATAACACCACCTATTACTGCTTTGTGATGCTGAAATTTTGTATTGGAACAAGCAAGGAAAACTCAGTTCTGAAATACGGGAGTGGGCAGCAATTCAAAATAAATGTAAAAAATACCATCCACACAGGTACAAATCACCTTATCTTTTCCATTTTTATTAATCGTGCAAACATTTTTATACATTAGAGGGCTTAAAAGAGAATTCTACTTAAAAAAAAAATATCAAAAAGCAAGGCAGCATGCATCTTGATTGACTTTCACCAGATAGGATTGTCCTCATCACCATGGGGACAAGGTGCTTTGCCAGGGTGGCTTCCCCCATGGCATGATATCAGGCCTGGACTGGCCATAGAGCACACCGGTATTTGCCTGGTGGGCTGGGGCTGCCTAGATTGGAGAGGCGGCCAGGAGGCACATAGAGGACCGTGCATTTCTTGGTTCCTGTATGTTCTGCCCAGAAGCCTATCCTATTCATCTCCTGCAGGTTGCATGCCCTGGGCACCTGTATGCTCCCCCCATGGGCTGCCCCCCCCCCCATCTCCCGGAGCACTGAGACGGATCTGTTAGCATATGCTGTCCCCAGTGCTGACAGTTCCCCGTCCACCACAGATGGGAGAGGAGAGAGAAAGATGACCCTCCTACTACTCCCGCCCTCTCCTCCTGTGTCTGCCCCACCAGAGTCTCTCTCTCTCTCTCTCCTTTCCTT